TATACTCGAGTATAGGCCGACCCGAATATAAGCCGAGGCACCTAATTATACCACAAAAATCTGGAAAAGTTACTGTCTCGAGTATAAGCCGAATCGGCTTTTTTCAGCTCAAAAAGTGGGCTGAAAAACTAGGCTTATACTTGAGTATATACAGTAATAAACAAGTCACTGAAAGGGCCGGCAATAGCAGGCCCTATAGGATGGGAAAAGAAAGGCAGGTATCATCCAGGTCATGCTTATCCCAAAGGTTTAGTTGAATTTTGAAAAACATCTTTGGATTTAAAGGCAGATACAGAAAGATTGGTCCAGGCCCACAGCAGCATTATACTGTATTCTGGGCAGTTTTTATCCATTGTTTAAACAGATATATTTTAAAATAGGAATGGCACTCTCAATATATCTGTTTTGCACATATTCTTGTTTTTACCTGTTGAGTGTAACAATTTATTTGTGACTGTGCTGCAGGAGACAGCTCTATATCCTCAGCTCCATAGATCTTCTGAGCTATGATTCTTATTTTTTCAACTATGGGAAGCTGTGAAAACAAAACAGGACAACAGCATGTTAAATTGAAGAGTCCCAAGATACTTTCCTTCAAATCAGGATTGCCTAGTTCTCACTGGCAGTGAATTTTGTACAACACTATTTTAAACATTCAGTTATGCATTGTTTCCTAAAAACAAATAACATGGATTTAAAAGATGCCCTCTATTCCCTTCCATTCAGAAATCATCATTAACCTTATCTTTTCTACAATGCAGACAGAGAAAAAACAAGTTTATGTATATCAGCTTCCTGTAGTCATGCATTCTGAACTGTACAGATAGTCCTCAACAGTTCATTTAGTGACTGTCTGAAGTTAGAACGGAACTGAAAAAAGTGACCTATGACCATTTTTCACACTTACGACTGTTATCGCATCACCATGGACATGTGATTTATATTCAGATACTTGACAACTGGTTCATATTTATGATGGTTGCAGTATCCTGGGCCACGTGACCTTCTGCGAGCTTCTGACAACAAAATCAATGGGGAAGCCAGATTCATCTAACAACTGTGCTTCTAATTTAACAACTGCAGTGATTCACTTAACAAATGTGGCAAGAAAAGTTGTAAAGTGGGATAAAAACTTAGCGACATAAATTCTGGCCTCAATTGTGGTTGTAAGTTGAGGACTACCTGTATTTCAGAGTTTTGTTTTGCTTGTTTAGCAAGAAAGGCAAAAATATATTACAAGTTTATGTGCAGTTTTACAGCAAGTAGATGCCCTTGGAAAGTCTTGCTGAAGTAAACCAGGCCTGGAAAATTTATCACAAGCTGAACATAAGCTTCTATTATTGAAACTATTCTGGAAAACCTCTAATGGATTACCTCAGAAACAGCTCTCAGCTTTTTTCCCCCTTTGGTATTGCAGTCAAGAATATGTTCTTTACAAAATGATCAATATACTGTTCAATTGCCAGGTATGTAAAGAAGCATAAGGCTAGGCTGATCCTTTATTTTGAAAGTGTCTGCTCTGCACACCCCGTTCCCTTTGTAGAAAGTCCTGCCCCAGTCCAAGTCCTAGATTGGCTTGCAACAATTGAAATTCAGTAAGTATGAGGTAATGTTAGCTTATCTTTTTTATAATGGGGTCATGTATAAAGTTACACTGCTAATTTTTGTACTAATCACACTGGAGCCTGGAAAGATGTGGGAGTGCGATGAAAATAAATTTTTAATAAGGACAGAATGAATGACCAAAATATTCTTGCCTGCCCCATCTGTACAGCAGAATTAACACATTCAGCATGTGCGTGCGCACACACACACACACAGAGCTACTGCCACAGTATTTCCTTCTATGATTAAGAAGCAGCCATCCCAAATGCCTGGAGCAGAGGGCATTTTGCCACAGGATGCCTTTGAAATCAATAGTGCATTGATTGAATGGTGCTGGGCTTTTGATGCCCTAACTTTGTGCCATCTCTGCAGCAAAAACTTGCTACGGTAGTGATTCATTGCTTTGGTACTAAATAACAAGGGTCAACCTCATCCTTCAGTTCTGGAAAGATTCTTATTATCACATTCCTTTATTTAAAAAAAAACAAGGGAGGAGGAAGGTAACCTTAGACCTCACATTAAATCCAAGACAAATTTATCACTCTGTGACAATAACAAATGTTTTGGCCCTTCTCTGTTTTTTTTAAAATCAATTATGTTCATGATTGTATTTTCATTGGGCAGTCTTGTCCCCTTGGCCTACATCTCTCAGTATCGTGATTGGTACTTCAGTACATGTGCTATGGCCTCAAACGCTGAGATGGATGTTTGCATAAAAATGCCAGTCAAACTTCCAGAAACTTTTGATGCCTGGATACTACAGCATTCCAAGTCTTTTATCTACTAGAGGTAGAAATTATGGAGGTTGAAATTGGGCTGTGTTCCTCTGCTCTACTTAGTTTTTTTTTTAAATCATGTTTTTTTATTCCAATATAGTCGTGTTTAATGTAGGATTTTTTTTCTCTATTGTTTATTTATTTAGAACATTTATATGGCCATCCACCTTAAGGAAATACTGTAACTTGGGGCAACCAACAGCACAAAAGTAATGTAAATTATTAGTTTCTCTTCTATTTTGAAAATACCCCAAAAAGCTCTTTTCGGTGATGATAACTTTTTACTTTGTTCAAAGAGTTTCCAAAGAATTAGAAGAGTTGCATTGATATGGCTCAATGAAAGTTCACTTCCAGAACTACTCTTTTTTTTGCTCTGGTTGTTCCCAGATAACATATAAAGATGTATGGCACAAACCTATCGAGCAAGTAGATCTTTTCAAATAATAATCATAATGAAAATCATAATGATAATAATAATCCTCCAGTGAGACACTAGTGACATGGCTGTGGGGCTTGTGATAATTCAAGGAATTTCCAAAAGCTATCCAGATTTCTATAAACCAGTTCAAAGACAAAAATACAAATATAAAAGAATAGAAGAAAAAATATAAATGGAATACAGAACTCAGTCTGATTTACAGACAATGCACCATAAAAGTTGAACATTGAAGTGTGTTACACAAGAAAATGTTTTCAGATTGTACTGTATTTGGGGCTGTATTCTCCTTCCCTGATAGAGGGATATTTTGTAATGTTTGTAATGTTTGTTTGTAATGTTTATTAACATTTGTAGTTTATTTTGTAATTTATTTTAATTAACATTAAAATAACATTTTATTCTGAATATATCCAAACTTAAAGAACATACATACAAACAGGTACTACTGCATTAGATTCAAAAGGCCAATGCTACAACAGAACTGACATTTTGAATTTCAAGCAGCCCCAAAAGGTCATACTAACATTTTAAGCAGAAAGCTGCTCACTGGTGGCTTGTTTTATCAAATTCCAGTTCAGATGGGACTTTTAAAAGTAATCGTATAAGTCTTCCAGGAAAATGTTTTTGAGATAGAATTGCAAGCATTGCTTAAGTTCACATAGAAGAATATTAAGCCTATTATCCCCCCAAAAATTTATTTGACAATAAGCAAGTTTCTATCTCTTATACATGTAAAAACAGGCTTGGGAACCGTAACAGCAAGGCCTAATAAAGCTACAGAATCCAGAAGCTTTTATAGTATAAATGAAAACTTTCAGGGCTCTGCAATATTTATCTAGAAAAATAAATAAACTGAAAGAAAATCTGTTTCATTTCCATAATTTACACATATTTCAAAGCATAGTTGTCTTTGTAACATATATACTTCGGTTCAGAAAACTACAGGTAGTTCTTGATTTACAACTATCTGTTTAGTGAACATTCAAAGTTATAATGGCACTGAAAAAAGTGACTTATGACCATTTTTCACCCTTAGGATGGTTGCAGCATTCCCATGGTCACATGATCAAACTTTAAGCACCTGGAAACTGGCATGTAGTGTATTTATGATGGTTGCAGTGTGCCGGGGTCATGTGATCACCTTATGGGAACTTCTGACAACCAAAGTGAACAGGGAAGCCAGATTCACTGAACAACCATGCGGTGATTCACTTAATAACTNATGGGTTTGTTCTCCTATGTTGTCCCATGCATTTGTGATATGGTCCCCCCCCCCCCCAAATGTAAAAGTATTTTACATAGAAATACTCTTAAAATGAAATCTGTTGAAGGAAGATAGTGCTTTCTTTTTCTTTTGTTGTCATTTATATTCTTCAGATTTTCTGTTTTCTATTGTATTCTGTGAAGGGAAACTTTGCAACAGAAACTACATCTCAGATTCAACTTTTAAAAAGCATATACCAATTTCCTTCTCAGCTTCCTATCATTCTTTCAAGAAATACATACAAGGAGTATAAAAGATGTAAAAAGATACTGAGCTATGAAGGCCTAAGTGATTTATATCTTTACTGATAGAAGTCATCCAGATTTTGATATAGCAAGAATGAATTATATTCTGAATACCTTTTCTGTTACTTTTTCTGATACAGCTAAGTTCTAGACAATTCAAGAAGCCAACATTTGATGAATTTGAAAGAACAGGCAAATAATGTTATAAAGTTTTGCCAGTGCACTTTAAAAAACCTAACAGTGATTCTAAGAAAAAAAATAACTCTCTTGGAGATTCCTGCCATTTTTCAGATACAGTGAAACACAGAAGCTATTTTTCTCCTACAGTTTTTCCCCTACATTTATGAATGTAATATTTTCTTGCAATGCAGTTTAATGGAACAGCACATAGCTGCCATTGATTGGAGAAAAAGCAACCAACAACTTCTCAGTTGTTTCATAGTTTCATTGCTCTGTTTTCCTTTAAACTTTTATCCTATATATTTCTGGCCTCTAAAAATGACACATTCCATTCTTTATGTCAAACTTATCAAAATTAAACTATTTCCAGCTGCCAAAATAGCTATAAGGGGAAAATGTTGTTATATTATATAGTGCTGTTAGCAAGTTGAGGATTTTTCCCTCATTCATTACAATTTAATATATAACCCCACATACTCAAAAAAATTCCCTGGGCAGTACAGTAGATGTGGCGATTATAATAGCAAACATATATGCTTTCCTCACACACTGTATAATTAAAACCAATTGTCAGAATCAACTGAAAGAATGCAAGTATGCAAAGCAGGAAATAGTCTTGACCTATTAGACTAAAAACAAATTATCTTCATAATCTAATTATACTGATGTACTGTGTAGTCTATTTTCTTTTGTGTTGATTCTGCTCTTGTATTTGTGATTTATCTTGAACTACATTTTCACCCATAAAAATACAATTTGAATTGTAATTTTTCCTATTATCTTTTTTTACTTTGTTCAAAGTATTACAAACTAAAAATGAGATAAATCAGCAGGCAAAATTCCAAGGGGAGAAAAAAAAACTATATGTACACTGAGTTTTATTGAGCCGAAAGGTTGGTAATCTGTGGCCTGGGGGTTGCATGTTGTCCCATTTGCACCCACAGGACTCCAACATCACACAGCTGCAATTTATTAATGAAATAGAAGTTTCCCAGCATCGGGATCTTTTTCCATTCCAAATAAGAT